TTGTTTTTTAATCCATTCTGACATCCTATGTCTTTTGATTGGAGCATTTAGTCCATTTACATCCAAAGCAATTATTGATAGATATGTATGTGTCATTTTGCAACTTGTTTTGTGGTTGTTTCTGGAAATTTTCTCTGATTCTTTTTTGTCTTTGATGTTTTGCTGATTTTCTTTAGTGATATATTTGGATTTCGTTCTCTTCTTTGCATGTTTATTAGTGGTTTTGCCTTTGGTTTTGGGGTGTGTGTGTGTGTGTGTGTGTGTGTGTTTAATATTTCTTGCAGGGCTAGTTTCACAAACTCCTTTAGTTTTTGTTTGTCTGGAAAACTCCATCTGTCCTTCTATTCTAGGTAATAGGCTTGCTCAATAGAGTACTCTTGGCTGCAGATTTTTCCCACCGCATTGAATATATCATGCCACTCCCTTCTGGCTTACAAAGTTTCTGTTGAAAAAACTCCCACTAACCTTAAGAGATTACCCATGGAAGCTTCTGATTTGTTTTCCTGCTTTTGTTTTCTTGATCGGTGTATTTTGCAAATTTAATTATAATGTGTTTTGATGTGGGCCTGCTTTTGTTGATTTTGATGGGAGTTTTTTTTCTGTGCCTCTTAGATCTTGGTATCTGTTGCCATCCCCAGATTAGAGAAGTTTTCAGCTATTCTTGCTTCAAATAAATTTTCTTACCCCTTCTCTCTCTCTTCTTTTACTGGGACTCTTATAATATGAATATTACTACATTTGATGGAGTCACTGATTTCCCTAGGTCAAATCTCATTTTGCATAATTCTTTCTCTCTCTTATTCAGCTTCCTTGCTTTCCATTACTTTGTCTTCTAGGTCATTAATTGGTTCCTCTGCTTCCTCCAGTCTGATGTTCACTGCATCAGGTGTGTTTCTAATTGCATTTATTGCACTCTTCATCTCGGATTTTTTTTTAAACTATTTTATCTCTGTTGTAAGGGTCTCACTGATATCTTCCATTCTTTACCCAAGTCCACTGAACATCCTTATGGTCACTGCTTTAAATCCTCCATCAGGCACGTTATTTATATCAGTCTCATTTTAATCTCTGGTACTGTGGCCTTATCGTGTTCTTTCATTTGAGATAAATTCCTCTGTCTTCTCATTTTGTCTAGGTCTCTGTCAGTTCCTCTGGGTTAGAAAAGCCAGTTATGTCACCTGTTCCTAAGTAATGGACCACTGAAAATGGTCACATAGTGCCCAGGGCCTGGCGCTTCAGGGAGTGTCTCTAGGGTGTGCGGCATGCACTCTGCTACTGGGTTCTGGCTCCTCTATCCCTCAGGCCAGTCATCTGAGAGATAGGCTCTCAGTATCTGCTGCGGGCAGTGTTTGGTACTTGGCCTGAATCTAGCAGGTCTTAACTAGCTTGTGAAATGAGACCTGCCCACTCCACTGGATCTGAGACCCTGCAAAACTTTGGTTGGGACACATAGTGTTGGCAGGGGTTTGTACTGGTCTTCTGGGGGAAGGGCCTGCTGTGCTGGAACTGAGGCAAGAATGATTGAAAAGGGCAGTTCCCCTGGAGTGCAAATGGGTGGTGGTTGGTGTAAGCAAGTTAGGCAGCTGGTGTCAGAGTGGCACTGATTCCCACAGGTGGCTGTGTGTTTGTGCTCAGGGTCAGGGGAGGGCAATGGCACCAGCCAGCTGGTTCCTTTGTTCCCAGAGACGTGTCTCCATGAACACTGCCTCTCAGGGACATGGTCTGAGAAGAGTGAGTAACTTCTCCACTCTGTGCCCCTGGTAGTCTTCAGATCACTATTTCCATGCTGTATGCTCCGAGGTAGATTGCTTGCTGCCTCTCTTCAAGCATAGTGCCCTACAGATTCTATCCCAGCCAAGCCCAATAACCTTTAAAATTCTAGGCTTTAAGCCCCCTTTGTTGCAAGAACTGCCAAAATTCAGCCGCTCTCCTTTTCCAAGGCAGGGGCTATGTGCATTCCCAGGTGTTCCTCTCTCCTGCCCTTCACCATGACCACTACTCCCTCCCATTGGCAGCAAATAGGATCCAAGGCAGTGGCTGTGTGCATTCCCAGGTGTTCCTCTCTCCTGCCCTTCACTATGACCACTACTCCCTCCCATCGGCAGCAAGTAGGATCTGTTTCTCTCCTAAACTATGTCTCTATACTTCCTACTTTCTTTGAAGTGGCTTCTTCTCTCTCTTTAGTTGTGGCCTTTGTTTTTTCAGTCTTCAGGTAAGATGTCTGAGGCATTTAGTAGGACTTGATAGGTATCTAGTTGTATTAGTGGGACAAGGTGAGCCTAGGCTCCTCCTACCCTGCCACCATCTTCCTTTCTCTATGATATTTTTCTAAGATTCTCTTCAAATTACAAATTATTAAAACTAAGCAGGAACATTTCTTTTGAATTTCCCTTTAAGTTAAGGGAGAACAAAGACTGACAAGCAGAGAGACATATGATTTGAAGTATAACAACTGAACTAGAAAGAGTTTAATAAGCAAAATGGAACCTTTTACCTGATTTCAATTAACTGCAATTCTAAAAGAAATAGGCAGCTTTGAGGGTTTCTAAATCAATAATCTTCATTCTACCTTCATCAGTGATGAAATAAAGAGAACATTAGGGAATAATTTCTAATCTTTTCATTAGCAAAACAAATGTATTGTTCTTTGGCACATTTAAATTAAATACAAATTCTCCTTTATCTTACTGCAAGCTTATTTTTGTGGGGAGGTAATAAGACTGTCTCATCTTTATATTGTACTACAACGCTTCTCCATATCATACAAATTGGCTTTGAAATTCTTTTGTAATTCAAATTGCTAACCTAATATTTGTCTCTGATAATTCAATTAGATGCAACCTGATATTTTACAGGTGTATTCTTGAAATAATGTAATGAAATGTTTATTCCATTAATTATGCATTGAGCTATCAAACTACGCTATGCATATCTATTTCAGTAAAATAAGATGGATGTGGGCAACTGCATTTTCCAAGAATGTAAGATCTGTGCCAAGAACAGGATCAGCACCAGTGTTGTATGCACGAGAACCAGGTCAAAAGAGTATCTAATTGTGAACTTTAAAGATGATGGATGGATCAGCAAGACTTCCAAACAGGAAGGCTGATAGCCCAGAGTTAACCTTTTATACAAATGGTACTGAGACAAATGGATATCCACACATAAAGTAATAAAATCAGACCTCTACCTCGTACCATATATACAAAATTAACACGAAATATTAAGAGCTAAAATTATAAAACAGAAAAAAACATAGGTGTGTATGTTTGTGATTGGATTTGGCAACAGTTTCTTAAATATGGCATCAAAAGACAGAAACAGATTAAATATTTCATCAAAATTTAAAAAATAAAAACTTTTATGCTTTAAATGTAACCATCAAGAAAAAGTGAAAAGGCAAGGTAATGAATAAAATATTTGAAAATCCTGTATCTGATAAGGGATAAGTAGTTAGAATATATAAATAACTCTTACAATAATGAAAAAACAATCCAATATAAAAATGGGCAAAAGAAATGATTAGTTCTTTAAGGAAGATATAGAAATGAATAATGACCACATGTAAAGATGCGATACTCAACATGACCAGTTCTAAGAAAAATGCAAATTAAAACCACAAGATAGATGGATCTCAACAAGTGTATTATGCTAAGTGAAATAAGTCAGAGAAAGACAAATACCATATAATTTCACTCATATGTGGAATTAAAAAAAAAAACAGATGAACATAGGGGAAGGGGAAAAAAGAGAGAAAGAGGCAAACCATAAAAGACTCTCAACTATAGAGAATAAATTTAGTGTTGCTGTAGAGGTGGGAGGGGTTTGGGCTAGATGAGTGATGGGTATTAAGGAAGACACTTGTTCTGATGAGCACTGGGTATATTTTTTTTTATTCAAGAGAGACACAGGGGGTGGGGGGGGCAGAGACACAGGCAGAGGGAGAAGCAGGCTCCATGCAGGGAACCCGACGTGGGACTCGATCCCGGGCCTCCAGGATCATGACCTAGGCTGAAGGTGGTGCTAAACCGCTGAGCCACCAGGGCTGCCCAGCACTGGGTATTTAAATGAGGAATCACTAAATTCTACTCCTGACATCAATATTACATGATATGTTAACTAACCAGAATTTAAATAAAAAATTGAAGCAAATGAAAATACCCCCACAACATGTCATTTTATACCCAATAGGATAGTTATAATAAAAAATAACAGATAACAACAAACATTGACAAGAATCAGCGAAAATGAGAACCCTCAAACACTGGTGATAAAAATGTAAAATGGTGCAGCCAGTTTGGAAAATAGTCTGGCAGTTCCTCAAAGGTTTAAAAAAAAATGTTAAAGGCAGTTACCATATGAACTAGCAATTCCATTTATAAGTATATACCGAAGAGAAATAAAATGTTCATGCAAAAACTTGTACATGAAAAAAAAAAAAACTTGTACATGAGTATTCACAATAGCATTGTTAACGACAGCCTAAAAGCAAAACAATCCAAATATCCACCAAATGATAAATACATAAATAAAATGTGGGCTGTTCATACAGTGGGATATTATCCAGCAATAAAAAATAAAAAAGCACTGACACATACTACAAAATAATCTAAAGATGTGCTAAAGGAAAGAAGGCAGTCAGAAAAGATAAAATATTTTGTGATTCCATTGATATGAAATGTCCAAAATCAGCAACAAATCTATAGAGACAGAGAGTGGAGTAGTAACTCCCTATGGCTAAGAAGAATAGGGAAGGGGAAACTAGCATGAGGTGACAGTTAAAGGGCGTAGGGTTTCTTTATAGGGTGCCAAAATGTTCTAAAATGGACTGTGGTAATCTTTGAATATGCATCTTATGTTCATTATATCTCAATAAAGTTATTACCAAAAAAATATATCAAGTATGCAAAATTAACATACAAATCAGTATTTCACTGCTCAAAGCATGGAGTGATTTATTTCTCAATGATTTTAGAGTCCAAAAACTAATTAAAAATTACCTTATGTTTTAGCATATTAATCTGAATATCCATTTCTGTTTGACTGGTTTTTAAATCTCCATAGAAAGGAAGCTCTCCATTTTCATATTTACTTAACATCCTTCTTGTCATGTTTAAGAGGTTCTTAAATCTGCAGAAGGTATAGAATGAGTAAGTCAGGTCCTTTAAGAGAAAATATTTAATACTTATTTAAATAGATAATATGTTCTATCACATAAACAAATCTATAAATTATGATATCTCATTTGTTCTAATCTCACGTTGTTTGAGAAAATACCAACTAAATTATATCCCTAGGTAAAAAAATATGAAAAAGATTTTTACGACACATATGGCAGTTAAAGAGTTAATAGGGTAACTATATTAAGAGTTCTTGTAAGTTATTTTTAATATCTATTTTCAGTATTTAATATAAAAACTGATCTATTATTAAGTGGCTATCAACCAGAGACTAGTAATCCACGGTGAAGAGGAAAAGCATCCTCATCTATTAATGTTTTAAAAAGACACAAAAAATACATTTTGGTACCTACCTACCTGTCTACAAGAAGAAAAGAAAATACAGACAAAAAACATCAAAGGAGATCATTCAACAGAAAGAGAAACAGGAAAGAAAAATATTTAAAGTCTGAGTTCAGAGGAAGAAGAAAGAGGCAGAGCTTTAGAAGAAAAGAAATCAGCAGAACGATAATGTAATAGTCTATGAGACTGTTTTAAAAAGAAATCTAATATCTTGGCTAGCAGACTCTTAGCAAAGTGAGGGGATGCAAAACAATGCAGAGAATGCAGTTAAATGAGAGAATTGACGAATCAGAGCACAAGTTAAGTACTCAGCAAATAAACAGAAAGGAAGCCAAGTGGGAGCTTCAGAACATCAGAAAGACATTTTTTTTTTTATCTGAGTGGTAAAAATGCAACTGTTCATTTTATTCTTAAGTCAGACATATATTTTTGTATGAATGATATATTTTATAACTAAAAAATGCAGGAAGAAAATGTAAGCCACTTGAATCCGAGATGGCAGAGGAACAGGAAAACATAGTTTTGTCTGATCCCAGAAATTCAGCCAGAGAGCTATCAAATCATTCTGAACACCCTGTGAAATCAACCAGAGATCTAAGGGAAGAATTGCAGCACTTCTACAAATAGAAAAGTGACCACTTTCTGCAAATCTTTTTTAACTTTCATTTTTACAGTTACATTCTATTCTTTCATTTTACCTAATTTTACTTCTGTATACATGTAAGTCATTCTATCTTCTCTTTCCTTTGGATAAATTACTCTAAAAACAGACCAAAATGTACCTTGGATATAGAATATTGCTCTGTTCTGTTCAACTGGCTGATAATATTGTTCTCATTTTGTCTTTTAATTTCCATTTTTACACTTACATTCTATCCTTTGGTTGTATCTAATTTTATTTTTGTATATATACAAGGTTTCCTTTCCTTATCATTCTGGGATGCAATTTCCTAACAAACAGACCAAAATACACATAGGATCCAGTGTACTGCTCTGCTCTCTTCAGCTCTCTAATTATATTATCTCCTTTTTTAACCTTTTTATCGTTTTTGGTTCTCTTCTGATTTGTTTAGTGTATTTCTCTGGGGTCATTTTTGCTATTTTTATATTTTGCTCTCTTATTCATCTATTCTTCTCTGGACAGAATGACAAGATGGAAAATCTCACTGCAACAAAGAGAACAAGAGGCAGTACTGACTGCCAGGAACCTAATCAGTATGGACATAAGTAAGAGGCTGGAGCTAGAGTTCAGAATAATGACTATAAAGATAATAGCTGGGCTTAAAAACACACAGAAGGCGCTAGAGAATGCCTTTCTGGAGAAATAAAACAACTAGTATCTAATCAAGCTGAAATAAAAAAGGCTATTATTAGTGAGATGCAATAAAAAATGAAGGCTCCAACTGCTAGGATAAATGAGGCAGAACAGAGAAGTAGGGATATAGAAGATAAAATGATGGACAATAAAGAAGCTGAGAAACAGAGAGAGAGAAACAACCACTGGATCATGACGGGAGAATTCAAGGGATGAATGGTACCATAAAGCAAAACAATATTAGGATAATTGGGATCCTAGAAAAAGGAAGTAGGGGGCAGAAGGCATATTTGAGCAAATGAAAGCAGAGAGAACCTTCCCTAATTTGGGGAAAGAAACAGGCATTCAAGTGCCAGTAGGCACAGAGAACCTTCCTCAAAATCAATAAAAAACAGGTCAATACATCAATATGTAATAGCAAAACTTGCAAATTTCAGAGACAAAGAGAAAAATCCTGAAAGCAGCTTGGAACAAGGAGCCCAGAACTGACAAGGAGAGAAACATTAGACTGGCAGCAGATGTATCCAAAGAGATCTACCAGGCCAGAAAGGGCTGGCATGATATATTCAGGGTGCTAAACAAGAAGAATATGCAGCCAAGAATACTTAAGAATATTTTATATATCAAGGTCATCATTGAAAAAAGAAGGAGAGATAGAAAGCTTCCAGGACAAACAGAAACTAAAAGAATTTGTGATCACTAAATCAGCCCTGCAAGCAGTACTAAAGGGGGAACTTTAAGCAAAAAGAGAGCCCAGAAGAAACACAGACAAGAAAGGAACAGAGACAATGCAGTGAAACAGGTACTTTACAGGTAATACAATGGCACTACATTCATATCTTTCAATAATTACTCTAAATGTAAACAAGCCAAATGCCCCAATCAAAAGACACAGAGTATCAGAGTGGATAAAAAAGCAAGAGCCATCGATATGCTATGTACAAGAGACTCATTTTAGACACAAAGAAAACTCCAGATTGAAAGCAAGGGAGTAAAAAACCATTTATCATGCTAATGGGTATAAAAAAAAAGCTGGAGTGGCAATTTTTTATATCAGACAAATTAGATTTTAAACCAAAGACTGCAATAAGAGATGAAGGAGGACAATATACCATAATTAAATGGTCTATTCAATAAGGAAATTGAACTATTATAAATATTAATGCCTCTAATGTCAGAGTAGCCAATTATCTTTTAAGATTTTATCTATCTATCTATCTATCTATCTATCTATCATCTATCTATCTATCTATCTATCTATCTATCTATCTATCTATTTGACAGAAATAGAGGTGGGGGACACAAGAAGGGGGAGCAGGAGAGGGAGAAGCAGACTCCCCATCGAACAGGGAGCCCAGTCAGGGCTCGATCTGAGGATCCTGGCATCATGACCTGAGCCAAAGTCAGACGCTTACCCGACGGAGCCACCCAGGCCCCCTATAGGCCAATTAATAATAAAATTAAAGGAACACATTGATAGTCATACAATAATAGTAGGGGCTTTAACACACCACTCACTGCAATGGTCAGATCATCTAAGCAGAAGATCCACAAGGACACAAGGGCTTTGAATGACACACTGCACAAAATGGACTTCACAGATATCTTCAGAGCGTTCCATCCTACAGCAACAGAATACACATTCTTCTCGAGTGCACATGGAACATTCTCCATAGCAGATCACATACTGGGTCACAAATTGGGTCTCAACTGGTACCAAAAGATTAGGATCGTCCCCTGCATACTTTCAGACCATAATGCTTTGAAACTGGAACTTGATCACAACAGGAAATTTGGAAAGAATTCAAATACACAGAGGTTAAAGAATCAAACTGGGGAATTAAAGCACAATTTTAAAAACTCATAGAAAGAAATGAAAATGGAAACATAACTGCTCAAAACTTTTGGGATGCAGCAAAGGTCATCCTAAGAGGAAAGTATATGGCAATACAAGCTTTTCTTAAGAAACAAGAAAGGTCCTAAATACACAACTTAACCTTACACCTAAAGGAGCTGTAGAAAAAACAGCAGATAAAGCTTCAATCCAGCAGGAGAAGAGAATTAATAAAGAGCAGAGCAGAAATCAATGAAATAGAAAAGAAAGGAACAGTAGAACAGATCAATGAAATCAGGAGCTGGTTCTTTGACAGAATTAGTAAGATAGATAAACCCCTGGCCAGACTTCTCAAAAAGAGAACGAACCCAAAGAAGATCGTGAATGAAAGAAGACAGATCACAACCAACACCAGAGAAATACAAACAACTATAAGAACACATTCTGAATAACTGTATGCCTACAATCTAGGCAATCTGGACAAAATGGATCCCTTACTATCAAAACTGAAACAGGAAGACACAGAAAACCTGAACAGACCCATAACCAGCAGTCATCAAAAATCTTCCAACAAACAAGAGTCCAGGACCGGGTGGCTTCCCAGGAGAATTCTACCACATGTTTCAGGAAGAATTAATCTATTCTTTGAAGCTGTTTCAAAAAATAGTAATGGAAGGGAAATTTCCAATGCTCTCTGTGAGGCCAGCATTACTCTGATCGCAAAACCAGACCAAGACCCCAACCAAAAGAAGAATTACAGTATCCCTGATGAACATGGATGCCAAAATTCTCACCAAGAGGCTAGCTGGGAGGATTTAACAGTACATTAAAAGGATTATGCACCATGTCCAAGTGGGATTTATGCCCGGGCTGCAAGGGTGGTTCAACATCTGCATATCAATCAATGTGATACACTACAGTAATAAAAGAAAGGATAAGAACCATAGGATCCTCTCAACAGACACAGAAAAAGCATTTAACAAAGAACGGCATCCTTTCTGGATCAAAACTCTTCACAGTGTGGGGAGGGAGGGAACACAATACCATAAAACCAGTCGAGGAAAAGCCCACACCAAATGTCTTTCTTATTGGGGAAAAACTGAGAGCTTTTCCCTTAAGGTCAGGAACATGACAGGGAGGTCCACTCTCACCACTGTTGTTCACATAGTCTCGGCAATTAGACAACAAAAGAAATAAAAAGGCGTCTGAATCAGGAAAGAAGAAATCAAACTCTCACTCTTTACAGAGGACATGATATCCTATGTGGAAAAGCCAAAAGACTCCACCCCAAAATTATTAAGACTCATACAGGAATACAGCAAAGCAGCAGGATATAAAATCAGTGCATGAAATCAGTTGCATTTCTATACGTTAACAATGAGACAGAAGAGAAACTGAGGAGTTAATCCAATTTACCATTGCATCAATCACCATAAGATACTTAGGAATAAACTTACCTAAAGAGGCAAAGGATCTTCTGAAGACGACAGGACATTCAAGAAAGAAATTGAGAAAGACGTAAAGAATTGGAAAACCATTCCATGCTCATGGATTGGATGGACAAATATTGTTAAAATGCTTATGCTACCTTGAGCAATCTATACATTCAATGCAATCTCTATCAAGATACCACCAATTTTTTTTTCATAGAGCTGGAGTAAATGATACTAAAATTTGTTTGGAACACTAGAAGACCCCAAATAGCCAAAGAAATGTTGAAAAAGAAAGCCAACACTGGTGGCATCACAAGCTGGACTTCAAGCTCTACTACAAAGCTGTGATCATCAACACAGTATGGTACTGGCACAAAAGTAGGCATGTTGAACAATGGACCAGAAGAGAAAAACCAGGAATGGATCCTAACTCTATGGTCAACTCACATTCAACAATGCTGTTATCTAATGGAAAAAGGGCAGTCTCTTCAACAAATGGTGTGGGAAAATCAGACAGTCACATGAGAAGAATGAAACTGGACCATTTTCTTACACTGTACACAAAAATAGACTCAAAATGGATGAAAGATCCCAATGTGGGACAGGGATCCATCAAAATCCTAGAGAACACAGGCAGCAGCAACCTTTCTGACCTAGGCTGCAGCAACTTCTTGCTAGACATGTCTCCAAAAGCAAAAATGACCTACTGGAACTTCATCAAGATACAGTGCTTTTGCACAGCAAGGAAACAGTTGACAAAACCAAAAGACAACTGACAGAATGGGAGAAGATATTTGTAAATGCCTTATTAGATAAAAGGCTGGCATGCAAAGTTTATAAAGAGCTAATCAAACTCAACACCCAAGAAAAATAATCCAATCAAGAAATGGGCAGAAGAAATGAATGGACATGTTCCCAAAGAATACATACAAATAGCCAACAGACATGAGATAACATGCTCAACATCACTTGGCATCAGGGAAATACAAAACAAAGCCACAATGAGATACGACCTCATACCCTTCAGAACAGCTAAAATTTACAAGTCTGGAAATGACAGATGTTGGCAGGGATGCAGAGAAAGGGGAACCCTCTTATGCTGTTGGTGGGAATGCAAGCTGGTGCAGCCACTCTGGAAAACAGAACAGAGGTTCCGCAAAAATTTGAAAATAGAACTACGCTATGACCCAGAAATTGCACTACTAGGTATTTATCCCAAAGATCACTTTGGTAGTGATCTGAAGGGGCACCTGCACCCCTCCATAGCAGAAATATTCACAATAGCCAAACTAAGAGGTCCAGATGTCCTTTGACAGAGGTATGTATTTAGAAGATGTGATATAAATATAAATGTATATCTATCTATCTTTATATATCTGTATATATACAGAGAGAGAGCGTGTGTGTGTGTGAAAGGGAGACAGAAAGTGAACGGAATGTTACTCAGGCATCAAAAAATGAAATCTTGGGACACCTGTGTGGCTCAGTGGTTGAGCATCTGTCTGTAGCTCAGGGCATGATCCCAGAATCCAGGATGGAGTCCCACATCGGGCTCTCTGCATTGAGCCTGCTTCTCCTCCTTCTTGCCTCTGTCTCTGCATCTCTGTGTGTATCTTGTGAATAAATAAATAAAATCTTTAAAATCTTCTAAAAAGAAAAATGAAATCTTGCCATTTGCAATGATGTGATGGAACCAGAAAGACAATCGGAGAAAGACAATTATCATATGATTGCACTCATATGTGGAATTTAAGAAACAAAACAGGGCAGCCTGGGTGGCTCAGTGGGTTAGCACCTGCCTTTAGCCCAGAGCCTGGTCCTGGAGACCCGGCACCGAGTCCCACGTCTGGCTCCCTGCATGGAGCCTGCTTCTTCCTCTGCCTCTCTCTCTCTCTCTCTCTCTCTCTCTCTCTCTCTCTCTCTCTCCCTCTGTGTCTCTCATGAATAAATTTTTAAAAAATCTTTAAAAAGAAAAGAAACAAAACAGAGTAGCATAGGTGGAGGGAAGGAAAAGTAAAACAAGATGAAATCAGAAAGGGAAACAAACCGGAAGACACTCTTAATAATAGAAAACAAACTGCAGGTTGCTGGAGGGGAAGGTGATTGGGGAATGGGGTAAGTGGGTGATGGGGATTAAGGAAGGCACGTGATGAAATGAGCACTGGGTGTTATATAAGACGCATGAATCACTGAACTCTACCTCTGAAACTAATAATACACTGTAAGTTAATTAATTTAAATTCAAATTATAAAATAAAAAGAAATAGAAGTCAAACCAAGATAATTTTTGATATTGTTACATGATGACAGGTAGGTTGTTAGATATTAGAATATCTGTTTTAAGAACACTACTAAAAGGAAAGATTATCTAAGAACAAAGATATCTTGCAGAAATAATTCAAGGTGGACAATGAAAAGTGCAGTTGACTACCTATGTTAAAGGCATTGTTGTTATTATTTAAGGAATCACTGAATAGTAAATGTAGTATTTTGCAAAAATTTCTATTTCCGATTTATAAAATAAAATTACAATTAAATCAATTAATTAATGGTTAAAGTGATGTGAAATATTATAGTCTTACCCAGTATTCTCTTTTTCTAATTCATAATTTTTCTTCACCTCTTGATCCAAACTGAATTCCAGAGATTGTTTTAACTCCATACATTTCTTTAGATTTTCCTTTTCATCGCTAGGCTTTGAAAAAATGTTTTCAAGAAAATTAGTTTCAAAAATCTAGAGACTCCTTTTATAAAATGTTATTTCTCATGAATTCATGAGTAATATGTGTTTAGACAGGTTTATAAAATACATATAAAATATAGTTTATGAACCAAATGTCAATAAAAACAGATTTCAAAAATAAGGACATTTCTTAAAACAGCTTAAACTGATTCTATATTTTCATCATTTTTTCCTAGAATTTAAATTGCCAAAATTTACTCATGAAATACAGAGGTTTTTATCCATATTAATACTAAGTATTAATGAAAAAATTAAAGTGGTTATACTTACATTTTAGTTTCTAAAGATGCCCTAGAAACATTTTCATCAATATATTAAGATACTCTTGGTTTTGTGAGATCATACCTTATTAAGATAATATCTGAAAAATTACCATGCAGTCCCCATTATAATTTTGAAGATCATCTAACTTTAGGATACTTTCATTCTCTGGAAGCATTTCAAACATTCTCTGCAAAATTTCAATTTCTTTTTTTCCATTAACCACTTTTCTCTTTAAATAAAATTTAAGTCTTCCCAATATTATATAAAAACGTTTTCTTACTCTTGTGGCATTTTCTATCATCTTGCTTTTCCCCTTTCACTGGACTTGAACATTCTTTAATGTGTCACCTCAGCCACAGATTCATCTTTTCATTGCTTCTTTTACACTAAAATCTGACTTTCAATCCTGGAATTCCACTAAAAAATCTTGAGGGTCATCAAGGATCTTCTTTTAAAAGTCCTTATCCTGCTTTACTACTCAGCAGCAGCTGAAAGCAATGACCATACCCTCCCTCTGCTCTCCTAATCCTATTTGATTTCTAAATGACACCAACTGCTGACATTTACTCCCTGACCCTTGCTATTCCTCTTTTGACACGCTCTCAAGAGTTCTCCAAATCTCAAGGCTTCAAAATCAGATTCTCTAATCTACATTTTCAGCCTTGACCCATTTACTGAGGTCATCTGTACTTTTCCATCTTCCTTCTAGTTCTTCATAGACATTATTTTCAACCACTCACTCAAAAGCTGTTACCTGATGTGGATTACCTTTGTAGTTAGCTAATCTGTTATTTTTATATTTTTAAAATTTATGTACTTGAGAGAGAGAGCACAAATGGGGAGAGGAGCAGATACAGAGGGAGAAGCAGACTCCCTGCTGAGGAGGGAGCCTCATGCAGGACTCAATTCTGGGACCCTGAGATCATGACCTGAGCCCAGCAGACGCTTAATCCACTGAGCCACCCAGACGCCTCAACACATCTAATCTTGTACATTTTATGTTGACCCTTTTTGATATTACTTTGAGTGTATTTTTTTTAAGATTTTATTTATTTATTCATGAGACACACACACACACACACACACAGAGAGAGAGAGAGAGAGAGAGAGAGAGAGAGGCAGAGACAGGCAGAGGGAGAAGCAGGCTCCATGCAGTGAGCCCCATTTGGGACTCGATCCCAGGACTCCAGGATAATGCCCTGAGCCAAAGGCAGAAGCTTAACCACTGAGCCACCCAGGCATCCTGAGTGTATTATTTATTAATCTCAGGGGGCACCCTTACCCTCAGGATGCTGACCATTGTACTTTGTCTTGCCTTTTTGTTATATTGCAAAAGTTCTTCCCAAGGGTCAGATTATGAATGGTTTGTCTTTGTTTCCTTTTGAATACTTTCCTATTCCATAGAGATTTGGACTTACGGAAGTTTTCTTCTAAATTCTTTTCAGATACACACTTGACTATATTGTTCAGAAGCTTAAGACGGCTAGAGCTATCTCTTCTTCTCAATCCAGATTTCTTCACCTCAAAATTGTGTCCATCAAATATCTTAACACAGGTAGTCTCTGTCCTGGGGATTTATGAGGTAAATAAATGAGGTTTCTGTTTTAAAGGGTAAGCTTAAAGTGGCTAATGTTGGGCTGGCAGGATCAAGGGGAATTGGGAGGCACCAATAAAATGGTGGCAGACCTTCCATTTTGTTACCCCCGCCTCAGAACTTTCCTGCCACCAGCAGACCGCCCAAAGACACATCATCAGGGGTACACAGGACCTATGTAGGAAACCTGAACCATACCTTACCCAACCTCCATATAAGGGCATAAGCAGTTATTGCCCCATACCAATTCCACCAGTAATATGCCCTAATACCTATCACCCCATACAGACATAACCCCTTACCTCTTCCATTAGAAAGCTCACATGTACTCCTTTTGGGTGTGACTTCCCTGGCTTCACTCCCTTGCGGGGCCATGGAACCTTGCCCCAGAGCATGTTCCATTAAAAGCCTGCCTCAACCAACTTTTGCCTGGCCTCTCTATTTCATTTCACTACCAATCGGATTAAACCTGACAGCTAATAATTTTATACCATTACTCTAATTCATTTCTATAGGAATCTACAGAATGTCTATGGATATTCTTACAAACTCTGTAACATGTGATGGCTTCCCTAATAGGTTCCTGTATGACATCGTAGGGGGGACAACTCATGGCACTCTCAGTCACAGAGATAAGACTCCTTACCAACATTTTGTCATGTTAACTGCATGAAAAGTACAGTAAAACAATTTGAGTAGTTTATATGAAGTCATGAAAAAAAATTTTCTTTTGATGTTTCTTTGGCCACAAAAAGGACCAATCAACAGAATGTGCTCATTCTAATGAAATTTGCATGTACATAAACTTGCTGACTGAAAGAAACTAGTTGTAGGTCCTTCTACCTCACTGTTCCAACTTAGAAGTCACAATGCAATCTTCTCATTGGTAACCACTCCTACAAAGGAGGGTATGAATGGCATGATAATCCTGTACTGCTTGGTAAATAGTTATATAGTTTTCACTACCTATCAATGAGCTGGTGTCCTGGATTGCACATTAATCTTTTCTGGGATTGAATTGTTAAATCTCTGAAAGCCAGATTAACTCGAGGGAATGGAAAATAATTAGTTGCAATGAATGCTAGGAGCACTGTGTTACTATGTAAGGTCCTGACTGAGCAGTCATTTCTACTTTTTCACTGGCATTTCTTTTCTTTTCAAAATCCAACAAAGAGAAAACCACATTCCTTTGAGAAAAATGTTTGTATAATTACCTAGTAGTCATTCTTTTTTTTTTCCTAGTAGTCATTCTTAATGAAGACAAGTTACAAGTTTGTAATTACAAATCACTACAAATTATTAGTAAAGTAATCCATTCTCAAAATCTCAGTAAAGGGTTTAGATTATAAGAGAAATTCAGAATTCAAGATCAAATTATTTACTTAAAGTTTGGGGAATTTTTAAACATATTGAAAAATATTAACAGGGACTCAGACATTAGTATACCAATATTCACAGCAGCATTACTAACAACAGCTAAGAGGAGAAAAACCCAAATGTCCACTGACAGGTAAACAAAATGTGATATATATAAAATATGGCTTTGTTTAGGCTTTCACAGTCTGTTTTATTAAAATCTTAACTACAAAAATTATTAATTTATGAATTCAGTCAACTTTATCTATAAAGAGGAATTATACCAATAGTAGTTAAGTAGCAACAATATGAATATTTTTATGAGTGAGAATGTTCATATTATGCAAAATGTTCTGATACACTACTACTAGAGAAATAAAACTTCTTCTCAGTAGGACAGAAATTAAGAGACTGACTTACCGAACTTGAACTTAACAGGTCTTCCTGAAGCTGTTCAATTTGGCCTGCTTGCTTCTTGATTGTAACTTTTAACTTGGCATTTTCAACTTCAAGCCTAAAATGCATATTTTAAAATATTTATTCTCAGATACAAATTTTAAACATACCACATAATTTCTAAACAAACATCTAAAGGTCTTACATAAATTCTTAAAAATTTAAAAACTAGATTTGGCAATTGTGCCATTTTTCTGGATGTATTTCATAGTTAATGTACAAAATTTAAAGATCATAAGCAAAAATTATGCATTTCAATATCATGCAAAGCTGAAATTTTTACCCAGCTAAACAATGATGTATTTATCATAATGGATATATTTCTCATACTATACTACTTATCTGCTTTATAAATACTCAAGTTATTTTCTGTGCTGCTTTAAATTGTCTCTGCCTCTCTGTGTGTCTCTTATGAATAAAGAAATAAAATCTTTTTTAAAAAAATTATACTTTTGTATGTGATCTTGCGACTTCTCAATACATCCTACAGCCTCTGTATGTCGATCCTGTGCTTCACGTAACTAAAAGAGAAAAGAAATACTTTTAACTACTGACAATCTAGTATAAATCATAACCTGTTAAACAAAATTTCACTGGACACAGACACTCTACATACTGATTTATGGTTACAACAGAACTGTACTGCTACAATAGAAACCTATATCTACAAAGCCCAAAATATTTACAATCCCTTTACAGAAAAGCTTACTGACCACTCTTCTAGTGTTAAAACATAACATTTTTAATGTTTTAAAATCATGTTTTATCAGTAGATATATACAAATTTATATATTGTTCAAAGGAGGAAAGACAGGAAATTACCTTAGAGTAAATATTTCTAATTTTCTATTCCCAGCACCACATCAATTATAATTTTAAATATTCACATTTATAAATGACCATGGTTATCCCAGTGATTATAAAAGTTAACATGCTACTTTCAGTGACAATCAGATATTTCAAGTAATAGTATAAGAGGCAGTATCTTTGTAGGAAGCAGAATATGCCTGGATCTGAATTCCCAACTCCCCTGGGTATTAGCTGTGTGACCTCAAACAAATTATTTCAGATTTCTGCATCTCAGTTTCTTCATCTGTAAAATGAAGATAATAATAGTATCTACCTCATTGTGATGCTGGTAAGATTAAATTAGGGAATATACATGAACTACTTAGAAGAGTATATGGCACATACCAAATTCTAAGTGTCTGCAATTAGCATTATTGTTGTTGCTGTATTTTATGTTCTAACAACACTTGATATTTTAGGCAGATAGCAGGCCAATGGAAGTACTCTCTTACACAAGTTATATTGAAATCATTCTTCATACTACTTACTGAAAGTGGTAGCAAATGGGGAGCATGAGGCCCAGGATATAGCCTCAGAACTCCAAAAAAATTTCACTAGGGATGCTTAGGTGGCTCAGTCAGGCATCTGCCTTGGGCTCAGATCATGATTTCGAGGTCCTGGGATTGAGCCCCCCCACATTGGGTTCTCTGCTCAGCAGGGAGCCTGCTTCTCCCTTTCTCTCTGCCCCTCCCCCTGCTTGTGTACTCAGGCACCCTTTCTGTCTCTCACAAATAAAATCTTTAAAAAAAAAAAAAAAACCTTTTACCAATTCCACTAGCCAATGGTACTTTCTTCCACTTACAATAATTTTAACTTACTTCCTCTCTATACTACTCAGTGAACAATGCTCATGGACTATGGTGCAAACAGTAACTCCTAGACTGATTGTTAAATAACTTACATGACCATCAGAGGCAAGGTAAAGCCACTGACATGGAAATAATGGACTCTTGCTAAACCAATGTTCCCAAATTGTTTCACGTTCATATTGTTTATCTTAGCAACTGTTTATGTTAGAGGGCCTTAGCAAGTACTCTGGTGAGTAGAGATTTAGGCTCTGTGTTGTGGCATATCAGAAAAACTATCCCTAGGGGATCCCTGGGTGGCGCAGCGGTTTGGCGCCTGACTTTGGCCCAGGGCGTGATCCTGGAGACCCGGGATCGAATCCCACATCGGGCTCCTGGTGCATGGGGCCTGCTTCTCCCTCTGCCTGTGTCTCTGCCTCTCTCTCTCTCTCTGTGACTTTATCATAAATAAATAAAAATTAATAAAAAAAAATTTTTTTTTAAAAAAGAAAAACTGTCCCTAGAGGCACCTGGTTGGCTCAGTTAAAAGAACACCTGACTGTTAACATTCAGGTCTTGTTCAAGCCCCACAGTGGATGTAGCAATTACATAAACAAATAAACTTAAAAGAAAAGAAAACCTGTCCCCAGAACTTTATAGTTGGTAAAGTGCTGTAAATCTGTAAATCTCAGTTCTGGCTGCATAATGAAGGAAGGCATATTTAAACTGTTTTTCCATAATGAAGGCAGGAAAAACAAGCATCTGTTTGAATACATCGCCTTATCAGATTAAATGCTTTTAGTTTTACATTTAATTGCTTAAAATAGATTTAGGATACAGCTTTGTTATGTCAGTGTTTTTCTTTTTCTTTTTTTTTTTTGTGTCAACGTTTTTCTATCAGAAATTACTGCTATGTATAAAGTACTTAATTTTATCCTAAAAACTAAGTTAAAATATTCTCAAATTTATACAAGGGTAGGTGTCATACATATAAAATATTTTCCCTCTTAGATACATTTGTACATAGAAAGACAAAATTGTCGTTCATGAAAAAAATAAAAACAATGTAAAATAAAGGACTAAACTGGTCTGCACAGACTGGATAACAAGAGTGAAAAAAGTATGTTCAAGGGGAGTTAGAATAGTCAGAGAAAGCCTCTTGGAGAATGAGAGACAATGAGCCAGGTCTCAATAGTGTAGGATTAGGCAAGAGGAAGGGAAACTAAAAAAACAGAAAGGGTAAAATGAATAAAAGGCTAAGAGATGGTAAAATCAACCTAATTAACTCAGAGGATAAAATCTGATGGCAGAGAAATACAAACAGATGTCCAGACAACAACTAAATCAATGTTCACTGAAGCATTATTAATGGCCACAAAGTAGAAATAACCCAAAGGTGCATCAAATGATGAATGAACAAGGGCTTTAGCCTACAATGGAGGACTGTTTGACCATCAAAAGATGAAGCACTGACATATGCTAGAACACAGGTGAACCCCAAAAACAGGAAGTGAAAGAAGCAAGTCACAAAGGACCACACATTGGGTGACTCCCTTTATATGAAATATTCACAATAGGCAACTCTATAGAGACAGGAAGTAGACTCTTGGTTGCTGCAGGTCAGGGGTAGCAGCTAAGGGTTTCTTTCTTTCTTTTTTTTTATTTAAAAGAATAGTTTTATTGGTGTTCAATTTGCCAACATATAGAATAACACCCAGTGCTCATCCCGTCAAGTGCCCACCTCAGCTAAGGGTTTCTTTTCAGGGTGATGAAAATGCTCTGATGGCAGTGAGAGTCGCACAACTCTATAAATGTACTCAGAGACAACTACACATGTTAAATTGGTAAAGTGTATGGTAGATGTATATCTCAGTAAAGTTTTAAAAAAATCCAATGGCACCACCTAGATAATTTTCTTAATTCTCTCTTTTGGGTGTATATACTATACATCATCTGAATTTTTCCATGCATTTATAATATATCTAAAAGGAAAAGAAAATGATGGAAATGCCTCAGTTGCATTAGTCATAAAGTAACCTTTCTGAAAAAAAAAAAAAGTAACCTTTCTGTAAAAGTTATCCTGAAATCAGTACAGAGTCGATATCCATCCATAAAAGTGAAGATGAGAAATAAGATGATTTTCTGAAACACTCCATTAATATCTTCTGATTTTAGCTAGCTCGCCTCATCATGGTAATAGAGATATTATTAAAAAGCATTGTTTAGGGCACCTGGGTGGCTCAGTTGGTTAAGCATCCACCTCATGATTTCAGCTCAGGTCATTGTCTCATTGGTGGTGGGATTAAGCTGGCCTGGGGCTCTGTACTCAGCAAGGAATCTGCTGGAGAGTCTCTCCTTTTCCCTGTGACCCCTTCCCACTACACATGAGTGTGCATGTATGTGCATTCTCTCTCAAATAAATAAATCTTTTAAAAAATTTGTTTAGCAGGAAATAAAAGTCCCTCAATTTGTGTGAATAATAATTGCATAAGTCTCAACTTTCCTAGTAAATGCTCTAAGAAAAAACATATAACACAGATAGCAGAATGGAAAGTCAGAATTTAATAAATAAGTGCATGATGAAGACACTAAAATTATGCTAAATTAAAATGAAAATACAAAACAAAGTGGTCCATGGAAATTAGCATTCTACAACACTTTATATTATTTAACAGCTACAGACAAACTGTTGACATATTATATTTAATACATACCTGACTTTTGATTTGATCTAATTTCTTCTTTAAATCCTGTACCTCATCTTCTAAATTAATACGATAATGCGATGTAACCTCCAATGAAGCCTCTGACATAGATTGTTTTTTTAGGGCATCAGCCAGTTCTTGTTGAAATTGTCTCATAACTACCTAATAAGACACTTCTGTTACTGATTTTATAAATCATCTTATTATTATGTTAATAATATGTAATTCTAACATATGTAATTTATCACCACATACACCAACTCACCTTTTCCTAAAATGTACACACTGCTGTTTATTGAATTTGGCTAAAGACACAAAAAGTGTTACCCTCCTGCTTAGTCAGTGTTATGTTACTTAGATAATTATTTCAACCTCACTACCCATTCTTTGTTGATGAATTTGCAAAGCTTCCCAGCCTGCTGAAGTCTCAAAAAGAAATCGGTATATAGGTGAGACTAGTAGTGGTAAATTCTACATTAATGAAATGTTTTCTCTCTTTTTTTATTAGAGGCTTAAATTAACTTCCAAGTTCTTCGCATAGTCAATCCTTTGCTCAAAACCTTCCAATATGTTACTATCTCAGAACAAAAGTGAAGTCATTCTAATGGCCTTCAAGCCCCCTAGATAACCTGGCTTCTACCTCCCTCCTTGACCTCAGCTCCTAGGGCTCCCTTCCCTGCTCATGCTCACTCCACTCCTGCTACACAAGAATCCTGCCACCCCTCAGTAGCTGGAAATGGAGATCCAGGGCCAAATCAATAAATCACAAAAGTATAATTTTCTTTGTATTGGAAAAATTTATGCCCAAATGATACTTAATATTGAGTTTTGAAATGAGCAAATTATTTGAAAAATGGTTAAAATAAATTATAAATAGCAGTGGGAAGATTAAATCAAATAGTTTTGCTAAAACTCACCACAGTTATCCCAAATTATGATTTGATGAAAAGTAGATGCCTTCAAAGAGTCAAAAGGTCATAAGAGTAAATGATTTGAGAGTAAAAAATTAAATTTATATAAATAAAGATAAAAGTATGCTAACCGAAAATGTGTAAAAAGCTACCAAAAGAAAAGTACTGAGATACAGTATCTACACTTCAGTTCATGTGACAAATCTGGAGTTAGCTGTCAAATTAATCCACTTAACTGAACTTCAATTTCAAAATACTCATTTAGTTATGAGCCTTTCCAGTTTTCTGTTCATCGTGGTATTAAAATGTGGTGACAAGAACTACAATTATTTTAGTAGTATTAACACTAAATTATTTTTTTAACACTAAATTACTAATATCAGCCTACTTTCTTTAAAAATTTATAACTTAGGGATCCCTGGGTGGCGCAGTGGTTTGGCGCCTGCCTTTGGCCCAGGGCGCGATCCTGGAGACCCGGGATCGAATCCCACGTCGGGCTTCTGGTGCATGGAGCCTGCTTCTCCCTCTGCCTGTGTCTCTGCCTCTCTCTCTCTCTGTGACTATCATAAATAAATAAAAATTTAAAAAAAAAAAAAAAAAATTTATAACTTAACCTCTTGAAGTTTCATACATGACATGGCATTTTTAATCAAATTAAAGCACCTCTTAGGTCTAATTTTTATTTGCTGGATACAAGTACGCTGACTTACACTCTCTATATTTTTTATGCTCAACTAGATTCAAAATTGAGCCATAATCAATCAGGTCATGAACTCAGGGTCATGAGTTGGAGCTCTGCACTGGGCATAGAGCCCACTTTGGATTCTCTCTCCCTCTCTTTATGCCCCATTCCCACTTAGGTGCAGGCACATTCTTTCTCTTCAAAAAAAAAAAAAAAAGAAGAAGAAGAAGCCATAATCAAGCATTACTTTGAATTTTCTCTCAGGAAGCTTGAAAAATATTTGTCTTTCTGAATACTTACTTCCCTTTCTTCTTTCTCCTTCTCATACTTATATATTCTTTCTTTTAAATGGTTACATTCAGTGATTAACTCCTTATTTCTTTCTTGCAGTATAACACTTTGTTTTTCACTTTCAGCTTGAAGATTTCTTACAATAATCTGAAACTGGTCTTGGATATCAATTACAGTCTTTTCTTTACAGTCAACTTTGCTGTAGGCATCATCTATTTGCTGCCGGAGCAACATATTTTCACTTTGTAGTTGAGATAATCTCTCTTCTAAGGATCCCTGCTTTCCAAAGTATTTATTCACTTTACTTTGCTCATTTTGATACTTCTGTTCAATTTCCTTCTTCTGACACTGGGTTTGTTTTAGGTTTCTTTGTACATGTTCTAAAGCCAAAGTCTTTTCTCTGAGAGCATCTCTTGTATGATGCAGCTCAATTTCTAGGGTATTGAATTTACTTTCAGCTTTAGAAAGTTGCTGAGAAAGCACCTCATTGTTATCTTTTAGGTTAGACACATCAAAGTTCATTTTGTCCTGTAAACGAAACCACTCCTCTTTTGCTCTCTGGAAAGCAAGTTCTAGGTCTCTTTTTGATGCCTGACTTTGATCATGATCCTGTATAGCAGTAGCAAGTCTAGCTCGGTATGACTGAATTTTTGCTTCTAGTCTTTCTTTGTTTTGCTTTTCATTGTCCAGTTTAGAGTTTAGCATTGTATTCTCAGTTGTCAGAACATTGAGCTGTCCAGTATATTGGAATACTGTATTTGTTAATGTTACCTCATTCAGTTTTATGGTCTTTTGAAGACTGTCATTCTTTTCTTTTTCAATTTCAATGTCTTCACAATATTTCTTTTCCTTTTCCTGCTTCTGGTTCCTTATTGTGTCTATTTCCAGTCTTAGCATAGCAATTTCATCCTGCAACATGCGGTTTTTATGTAACAGATCTTTTGCTTTTTCATGAGTAGAAGAAGCCTAAGTAAAATGAGAGTCTTTTAGTTGGAACTCAGTAAAATGACATCATGATTTTCTCTGAAATTAAAAAATAATCTCTGTTTATACAATGAATAGGTTGTAGTAAGTGGATATCCAACTAGAAAAACATAAAGTTGGATTCAAGCCTCAAACCTTTATACAAGCATTAATTCCCCAAAGTTCAAAAATGTAATTGAAGACAATGAATGCATGAAAGGAAAAAAGAAATCATGACAAAATTCTAAGAATCTCAGAATTGGAAAGGTCTTTATCTGATTTACAACAAACCCAGAAGGCCTAAAAAAAAAAAAAACAAAAAAAAGACTAATACATCTGACTACACTAAAATTGAGTTTACACTCTGATATCTAACACAGTCCACAGGAAAATACTTAGCTCTGCATATATTTGGACAGATTAATTTCCTAAAATTATTTTTTCCTGAGAATATTCCATAGATGTTCTACTTTTGTAATATTTCTATAGTTATAAGAATTATATCTACTGATAAATGACAAATCTAGGCATCATGCTATAAATACTTTTGCATACATTAATGATCTCTTAGTTATCATAATTCCAGAATGGGGAGGTTAAAAATACTAAGTGAGCTGTAGGACTTTCCCCAGGTCTTCGTACTCCACTACTAGTGTCTTGCACCAAACTGCAGCTACTTCTCTAATGTAAAACATAAAAACAAAAGAAGCCTTATATTTCAGGAGTGGCTGGGTGGCTCAGTCAGTTAAGCCTCTGCCTTTAGCTCAGGTCATGAAAAGGTCTTGGGGTCCTGAGATTGAGCTTCGTGTCAGGCTCCCTGCTTGGCAGAAAGCATCCTTCTCCCTTTCCCTCTGCCTGCCACTTCCCCTGCTTGTACTCTCTCTGTCAAATGAATAAGCAAAATCCTTTAAAAAGAAACCTTATATTTCAAAATACCAATGCCAAACAAGGTAAAATTTATACAGCTCCTAAAATATCATGAGATTATCTGTGGCTGCAATAAATTTTATTTCCTCTTCAGATGTTTACACTGGCAATAAATGCAAAATAGGGGAAAATACACGGAGCTATTTTATTAAGAACAAAATACTAATCAGTAAATTTTCATTAAGTATATATTACAGCATATGATTGTTTCAAAAGCTCCTTGTAATGAAATTGGATACTACTTGGAGCAAATTGTTAACTTTTCACAAAAGTACGAGCCTAACACCCAAAGTAAGATCTCTGAACAGGCTATACTTTTCCTCCTGTTCATCAGTGGAAGTGTGAAACTAACCTCTCTATGAATATAGAGGTGGTGAAGTAATTGCCAAAACTAAAACCTATGTTGTTAGTAGCAAGAGTTTTGAGCTTATGGAAAGCTCATCAATTCCTATGGAAAATAATAAAAACCTCTTCTTCAGATAAGGATATTATTAATGTCACTATTTGACCCTTGTAGACAAATGCATTTAAATTAACTAATGAAAAATAAGGGCAGCCTTGGGTGGCTCAGCGGTTTAGCGCCACCTTCAGCCCAGGGCGTGATCCTGTAGACCTGGGATGGAGTCCCAAGTCAGGCATCCAGCATGGAGCCTGCTTCTCCCTCTGCCTGTGTCTCTGTCTCTCTCTGTGTCTCTAATAAATAAATAAAATCTTTTTAAAATTAATTAATTAATTATTTAACTAATGGATCAAAATGCCACTCCCCCCACTTCACTCCCCAATATACATATACTTTATATATACTGTATATGTATAAAAAATACATTATATATTTATTAATAATGTATTAATATATATTTATCAAATATTTGTATTTTGTAATAATATATTATATAATTACATATAATTATAAATTTATAATATATAAAATATATAAATATATAATATAATTTATTATATTATATAAAATATGTTAAATATAGGGATCCCTGGGTGTGCAGCGGTTTGGCACCTGCCTTTGGCCCAGGGCGTGATCCTGGAGACCCGGGATTGAGCCCCACGTCGGGCTCCCGGTGCATGGAGCCCGCTTCTCTCTCTGCCTGTGTCTCTGCCTCTCTCTCTCTCTATCATAAATAAATAAAAATTAAAAAATATATATATTAAATATAAATTAAAAATATATTTTAGAAATATATGTATATATTATGTATATACATATATATATACATACTTTATATTTTCCTCTATACTTCCCATGATGTACAGTGTTGTTTTTTAAAATAAATATACATATATGGAGAAAAATAATAATTCCAGTATACAGATATATACAAATACATACACACATGTACTTCAAAATAACTAAAGAAAATACCTCAGAATTCATTTTTGTATGAGACATTTCTATTTCCTTTCGTTTGCAAAGGTGATTGTTTAGAATTCCATCTTGTAATATTCTGGCATTCTGTTCTTGAGAGAGTTGCCTCTGAATGTCATTTCGCTCTTCTATAACCTAGAAACACATTTTCATTAGGAGTTTGGATCATATGATTAAAATAAAGTCAAAGAAGCCTTAAGAAAACTTAAAAAAAGTCTTCAAAAGTAGTCTTTTAAAACAAGGATTTTTATCCTGCATGAATAATTCAAATTTTAATGGGAAATGACAGCTAAATGTGTCATAGAGTAAAAATATAAGTAGACATAGTATTGTGAAATAAAATTTCTTTATAAAACATTTAACTAGTTTCATCATGGTCTCAAGGCAATTTAGCCTATTTTAACATAAAAAAAATCCAAAACTGGGGCACCTTGGGGGGGCTCAGTGGGTGAAGCATCTGACTCTTTTTTTGGCTCCAGTCATGATCTCATAATATCAGGGTTGTGAGATTCAGCCCCAAGTGAGGCTCTGTGCTCAGACCAGAGTCTGCTGGAGATTCTTTTCCCTCCCTCTCGCTCTACTCTGTCCCCCCGCCAATGCTCTGTCTAAAAATAAATAAAATTCTTTTTAAAAACAAAGAAAACGAAAGCCAATATTTATTGGCTTTTATCTCAATTTACATTCAATCCCTTCATTGAGAAAATATACAGACAACATATATGAGAAGCCAAGAATTCCAATAAGGTAATAATTTTAGCTATAAATATAATGGTTCGTTCCTATTAGGATAAAATTAAATTTTTAATCTATTTCAAACCTAATAATATATATTAAGTCAAAAGGATATTATAAGAAATATTGATGGAAATATAAAATTCTTGTCAAAAATTTACCTGATTCAAATTGTTTTTTACACTCTTCAATTCCAGGTCTAGTGTTCTAAGATTAAGCTCAAGCTGTTGTTTCATTTCGACTTCTTTACTATATTGCTCTTCTTTATTTCTTAATTGCTCCCTAATTTTTTCATATAACATATCAGCACTTTTTCTTTTTTCTTTTTCCTGTTTTAAGGTAAATCTGCAAATAAATGTGTTCATTTTAAAATGTGTTTTGTTAGCAATAAAAAGTTTATTTTATAATCTGGTTCCAAATATGTTGTTTCATTATCCAAATGAAATTTTTATGTTCTCAATTTTTTTCCTTTCTAGGGCTCATGTTTTTAATTTCTCACTTCAATCTCTTCCAAAGGATAGACATAGATATATATACAATTGAAAAGAAAGAATGAGAAAGCATTATACCATTTAGTAACTTTTAGTCAGTAATAACTCTGGTAGTTGTTGTAAGGAAAGGAATTCTGAAATTATTCAGGAAAGTTAGAGTTGAAGATTGCCATTTTCCCCACATAGTCATAATTACTCTTCAAATAGGATAATTTAGTTACTAACTAAAAAGAGAAGTTGCTGTTTATCAACAACTTTATAAATTCACTAGAAATAAATTTTTACTTCATAAAACATCAAAGGTACCTCTAAAAATAATCTACAGTGTAAGACAGCATCTGCAGATGTTGTTTACACAACATAAACATACACCTGCAGATTACTGTGATCCAGCAGTAGACTAGGGAGTCTAATATTTATTGCCCCATACTTTTTATGGTTCTTCTTTTGCAATACTCTCAACCTTATTGATTATAAATTTTATAAATCATTTGAAAACTCCTTTTAGAACAACACAGGATCCATATTAATTAAGAATAAAGAGTAATATGTGCTTTCAGCATAGACTTTTGAAATAATTTTCTTTACATATGAGAGAAATGTTGAAAACACTTAACCATTAATCATTTTCCATTTTACTTAATAACCCCTGCATATGTTAAGAATAAACCAAAGTTTAAAGATTTTTTCTGTCTTGAGAAAAATGGACCATTTTACACTGTTGGCGGGCATATATAAACTTTCCTGAAAACAGTTTTAAAATATGGATCAGAGACTTTCATTAAAAATTTTATACTTTAACCAAACAATACTACATTAAAGAACTTATTCCAAGTAACCAAAACTGTAGAAACAGAATTAAATAAGACATTCCTTGTAGCATTAATTAAAATATAGAGAAATGTAAAACAACCAAAATTCAATTTGTTAAATAATGAGGTCTCCATATGGTGAATTTCTATATGGTCATTAAAATTATGATTTGGAATATACATTAAATTATTAGAAGTATTCACCATTAAAAACTTGCTATATTATTTCAAAGAAACTCATACTTCACATTACTAAAGAAGTTTTCTTCCCTATAAAATCCCAGAAGGCAAATTAACAATTACAAAACTTCTCCTACACAACCATAGTATAGAAGTAAATATTTTAAGGGGTTCCTGGCTGGCTCAGTTGGTAGAGTATGTGACTCTTGATCTCATAGCTGTGAGTTTAAGCCCCATGTTGACTGTGGAGCCTATTATATATTAAAAAAAAAAAAGTAAATAGTTGAGATATTTCCAATATTTCCTTAAAACCAGGATGTCATACCTCAAACTGCAGAGTTCTTGTTCCCATTCCACTTTTTGATGCTCTAACTGTGATTTCATTTCTTTTGTTTCTGATAGCTCCTTTTGTAGTCCATTAATCTTACATCCCATTTTTTTAATTCTTCTTATAAGTTGTTCACAGTCATTTTTTTTAAGTTCTATTAATCTCTCATATGAAAGAATTGCATCCTGGATTTTCAATAGACTAACAGAATCTACATCAGAGGAAAAACAAAACCAGAAACAAAATATATGAGGTATCTGGGTGGGTCAGTTGTTAAAGCATCCAACTCTTGGTTTTGGCTCAGGTCATGATCTCACGGTTGTGGGATTGAGCCCGGCATTGGACTCTGCATTCAGCACAGTGTCTGCTTAAGATTCTTTACTCCCTCTCTCCTTCCCCTTCTGTTTCTCTCCCGCACCCCCTGCTCATTCTCTCTCACAAATTCATTATTTAATAAAATAAAATATATGAGTACTTTTTGCATATAAAGGACTGTGCATTTTCACATTCATTCATTCATACATTAAACAAATATATATTAAGTAACTTCAACATAAAGATATTATAGGGGCACCTGGGTGTCATGGGATTAAGCTCCATGTTGGGCTCCCTGCTTAGTAGGGAGTCTGCTTCTTCCTCTCCCTCTGACTCTCTCCCTGCTCATGCTCTCTCTCTAATAAATGAATAAAATCTTAAAAAAAAGAAAAGAAAACATAATCAAAACCTTTCTAAACTTAATGAAAACTATAATCTCACAGATCCACAAAAGATCTGGCTAGGAGAGAAGAAATGGAACTAAACTATTGTAACTTTTTTAAAGATTTTTTTTAATTTATTCATGAGAGACATGGAGAGAGAGAGAGGCAGAGACACAGGCAGAGGGAGAAGCAGGCTCCCCGAGGTAGCCTGATGTGGGACTTGATCCCAGGACCTTGGGATCACAACCTGAGCCTAAGGTAAAGGCTCAACCATTGAGCCACCCACGTGTTCCCTATTGTAATTTTCTTAAACTACATATGATGTGGTATAACATTACAAGAAGGTGGACTGTGATACTGGAGTCATATGCTTTAAACTCTAAGGCAATCACTAAAATAGCAAAACTAAAGAGTTATAGTTATGTAAGCAAAGCACATCCATATGTATGTACGTATGTATGTATACGTATAAATTAACTCATAAAAATTAGTTGATTAATCTAAAAGAAAGCAGAAAATGAAGAAAATGGGAACAAAGTAGATAAGGTAAATGGAAATCAAACAGGATGAGAGATTCATATCAACTGTATCAATAATCACATTAAATGAAAATGGTCAAAAAAAAAAAAGAAAGAAAATGGTCTAAAAGCCTCAATTAAAAGGCAGACTGTCAGAATGGATAAAAACAGTAAAAGCCAACTATATGCTGCCTATAAAAAACTCACTTTAAATGTAAAGACACAAATTTGTTACAAGGACAGAAATATGATATACCACATTCACACTTGACAAAAGAAGGCTGAGCTTGAGTAGCAATATTAATACCAGACAAAATAGGTTTCAAAGCAATATATATTATCAGTAATATTTAAGGTCATTTTTTAATGATAAAAGGGTCAATAAATAAGCATAACAAACCAAAATGTTTATTAATCTATTAATAAGATCAAAATACATAAGGCAAATATCAACAGAACTACAAAGAGAAACAGGCAAATTCACAAATATAGTCTGGGATTTCAACAGGCAGAAAACCAGCAAGGATATAGTAGACTTGACCACCACCATCTTTCTCAAGTATCCCATGGAACATTTCCCAAAAGAGATTATATTCTGGGTCATAAAATAAACCTTAATAAAAGGGTAGTCAAAAGGATTGAAGTCATGAAAGTGTGTTCTGTGACCACAAAGTAATCAAATTACAAATCAAGAACAAACATATCTCTGGAAAACACTCAAATATTTGCAAACTAATTAATGCACATCTAAATAACCCCTGCATCGGGGTACTGAGGTGGCTCAGTTGGTTAAGTGTCTGCCTTCAGCTCAGGTCATGATCTCAGGGTCCTGGAATCAAGCCCCATGTTGGGCTTCCTGCTCAGGGGGAAGAGGGCTTTCCACTGCCACTCTTGCCCACCTATGCTCTCTCTGTCTCTCTCAAACAAATAAAATCTTCAAACAACCCTTGGGTCAAAGAAGTAATGAAAAAAGAAATTAGAAAGTATTCTGTACTGAATGAAAATAAAAACACAATATGCTACAAATTTCTGGAATCCTCCTAGGGTAGCACTTATCTCAACATTTATAGCACTAAATGTATCTATTAAAAAACAAGAAGGTGCCTGTGTGGCTCAGTCAGAAGTGGCTGCCTTTGGCTCAGTCATGGTCCTGGAGTCCTGAGATCGAGTCTCACATCAGGCTCCCTCCTCAGCAGGAACTCTGCTTTTCCCTCTCCCTCTGCTCCTCCCCTCCCTTTTGCTCACATTTTCCCTTTCTCAAATAATAAAATCTTTTTTTTTAAGTTCTCAAATCAATGACCTTTAGCTCCACCTTAAGAAACCAGTAAAATAGTAGTTAAAAAAAAAAAAAGTTTGAAACCTATGGTTATATGGAAATCTGACAGAATTTTTAAAAAAACTACTAGAACTAATAAATGAACTCATCAAGGTTGGAGGATATAAAATCGTTACACAAAAATCAACCATATTTCTAATATACCAGCAAAAAAAAACCAAAAATTAAAATTTAAAATTATTACAACTTCTTTGAAAAATAAATAATCACAGGTAATATCATAAAAGATAGGCTTATACACACTAAAAACTATAAAATATTGCCAAGAAAATTAAAGAACACTTCTATAAATGAAGAGATATACTCTGTTCAAGGGTTGAAAAGTTCAGTATTGTCAAAAAGCCAATTCTCTCCAGTTAATCTGTAGATTCAACATAATCCAAACCTGATTTCCAGACCACCAGCGGTTTTGTTTCTGTTTTTGTTTTTCTTAGAGAATGACAAGCTGATTCTAAAATTCATATGGAAACACAAAGTATGAAAGGATCTAGAATAGCAAAACAACCCTGAAAACAAAACTGGAGGACTAACACTACCTGATATCAAAAATTATTACCAACTGGTAGTAATTAAAACAAAATGATTTTGGTGTAGAGAGGGCCAGAGAGATCAATGGGAAAGAACAAAGTCCATAAATAAACTCATACATATATGGCCAACTGATGCAGACAAAGATGCAATGGCATGAATTGGAGAAAATAGAGCCTTTTCAATGAATACAACTGGACATTCACAAAAGAATGAACTTGGGTCCATACTTTGCATCATAAATAAAAAAAGAATACAAAACAGATCACAGATCTAAATTTAAGACCTAAAACTATAAAACTTTGTTTTTAAACTGCAAAGCTTCTATTATAAAGCATGAGATAAGACCTCTGATGTTGTGCTAAGCAAAGATTTCTTGGATATGAACATCGAAAGCAAAAATCCATAAAACAACAAATGGATTAACCAAACTTCATCAATAAGAAAAACGGCTCTTCAAAAGACACTGTGGAGAGAATGAAAAGTTACAGACTGCAAAAAAATCTTTGCAAAAACAATATAGGTGATAAAGGAACTATATGTAGAATACACAAATAATTCTGAAAACCCATCAAATAAGAAAACAAGCAACCTAATTTTTAAACTGACAAAAGATTTGGACAGTTCAAAGAAGATATACAGATGGTAAATAAGTACATGAAAGTATGCTCCACATTATCAGTTATTAGGGAAATGTATACTACAACCATAATTATATATTATATATATAATATATATATATTACATACCCAACAGAATGGCTAAGATTTAAAAAACTGTTAAGACTAAGTGCTCATGAATATATATGGAGGAATTAAAAGCCCTCATACGCTGCTGGTGGGTTTAGAAAAGGTACAATTATTTTAGTAAATAATTTGGCAGTTTCATAATAAGGGAATATAAAGGGATGTGAGACTAAAGAGTGATGGATATGTTAACTATCTAAATTATGATTATGGTTTCATATGTGTATACATGTCAAAACTATCAAATTGTACACTTCATACATGCGCAATTTAACTAAAGCTGTTGGAAAAAGAAAACCTCTATTATATGAAAAAACATCTAAAACAGTAGCTGAGACAGAAATGGAAAGACAGATATGAACCAATACAAGATGATGCTAACAGACTATGATCTTTCACCTCATAGCATTAGTAATAGCTAAGCTTTAAGCAAGGGAGTAACACAATGAAATGTAAATTTTTAGAAATGTATGGTAATTATGGTTGCAGTGTAACCAAGATTCTGAGAGGTGGAATGGCAGAGAAAACAGTCCTGAGGTTAGTTCAGTAATCTAGGAGAAAAATAGTGGTAACCTGACCTTGGGTGAAGGCACAGAAGAGAAGCAGAGTTCACAAACACATCAAGTGTGCCATTCCCACATAGACAACTACAGTGGAAATTATAGTTCTTTGGCTGAGAGTATTCAACAGGTCTCTATTTTAATAAAAATCATATTTCTGAGATGAGTAGCTCTATAACACATCAGTGTTGTGTGGCACAGCGCTAGATGAGATGTGCACATATTACTACAATCATATACACAGAAAAAGGCTTTATATTTATACAACGATCCTACCTGTACAGTCCATGCCAAGTTGTTCAATGAGCAACAGGGAACTCTTAAAATCAGAGTAATGCAACTTACAATCCTCTGAAGGTGCTTCAGATGACTGAGTTAAGTCATCAAGGTGTTCTACAGAACTCATTTGCTTTTTGACCTACAAATAAATAATACTATATCAAAATATCATCCAAATATTTATAAAATATACTAAGTGTAGAGAGATGATAAATATCCATCCTTTTATAAAAACAAAAGCATAGGTACTTTTTAAGTGAACTGATTTTTATCAAAAAGACCTTTATCAATAATTAGTGTTTCTGAATTTTTTGACAGCAAATGTCTATACAACAAAGGAACATTTTCTATTTTTTTCACTATGTCTTTCATAAAGTAACTTTTTGCCATGGAATAATATTTCTGATAAATATGAAATATCAAATAATAAAATAAAATATATCATAAATGAAATAAAATTATACATATATTTTTTTACCTTGTTCTTTTCCTTAGACGTTTTCTTTGCAGGTCTAAAAAAACAAATGATTCTTTTCAGGCAAATATTAAATATTTAAAATACAAGAAATATTTAAAGCATATCTAAGCAATATTAATGGTAATATTAACAAAGTATTAAATTTAGATCAAGGTGGAAAAACTAAAGGAAAATCATGTTACTTGCATTATTTGATGGGGTAAATATACTACATTTTTTGTTGTCATTATCAATAAAAAAGTTTTTACTGGCAGTAAATCAATTTGAAAAGTGCAAATTAAGTTTTTATATGAAAGAAACCCTTTTTAAATAATCATGATATTAGTGTTTTGAGGTTTTATTCTGTAACTTCTATGCATTATTTTGAACACTTTACATATCCTAAAGGTATTTTAAGCCTTACACCAGTCCTATGAAGTAGGTAATTATATGAGGTATTTTACACAGGAAGAATAGGAGGCACAGAAAATCTAAGGAACCTCCCCAAGCCCGTACAGCTGGCAGGAGCAAACCATCCAGAACTCAAGTGCAGGAAATGTCTTAACAGATACCCAAAGATTGGGATTGTCCCCTGCATATTTTTCAGACCATAATGCTTTGAAACTAGAACTAAATCACAAGAAGATATTTGGAAAAATTCAAACACATGGAGGTTAAAGACCATCCTACTAAAAGATGAAAAGGGTCAACCAGGAAATTAGAGAAGAATTAAAAAGATTCATGGAAACTAATGGGAATGAAGATACAACCGTTCAAAATCTTTGGGATAGAGCAAAAGCGGTCCTGAGGGGGGAAATAAATCACAATATAAGCATCCATCCAAAAACTGGAAAGAACTCAAATACAAAAGCTAACCTTGCACCTAAAGGAGCTGGAAAAGGAACAGCAAATAAAACCTTCACCCAGCAGAAGAAGAGAGTTAATAAAGATTCAAGCAGAACTGAATGAAATACAGACCAGAATAACTGTGGAACAGATCAACAAAACCAGGAGTTGGTTCTTTCAAAGAATTAATAAGACAGATAAACCATTAGCCAGCCTTATTAAAAAGAAGAAAAGACTCAAATTAATAAACTCATGAATGAGAAAGGAGAGATCACCACCAATGATTCACTATGACCAAGTGGGATTTATCCCCGGGATGCAAGGCTGGTTCAACACTTATAAAGCAATGTGATAGATCGAAAAAAAATAAAAAATAAAAAAATAAAACCATGTGATAGATCATATCAGCAAGAGAAAAAACAAGAACCATATGATCCTCTCAATAGATGCAAAGAAAGCATTTGACAAAATACAGCATCCACTCCTGATCAAAACTCTTCAGAGTGTAGGGATAGAGGGAACTTTCCTCAGCATCTTAAAAAGCCATCTACAAAAGGCCCAAGGCAAATATCATTCTCAATGGGGAAACACTGGGAGCCTTTCCCCTAAGATCAGGAACAAGACAGGGATGTCCACTCTGACCACTGCTATTCACCACAGTACTAGAAATCCAAGCCTCAGCAATCAGGAAACAAAAAGAAATAAAAGGCATTCAAATTGGCAAAGAAGAAGTCAAACGCTCCCTCTTCACAGGTGACATGATATTGTACATAGAAAATTCAAAAGACTCCACCCCAAGATTGCTAGAACTCATACAGCAATTCGGTAGTGTGGCAGGATACAAAATCAATGCCCAGAAATCAGGGGCATTTCTGTACACTAACAATGAGATTGAAGAAAAAGAAATTAAGGAGTCAATCCTATTGACAACTGCACCCAAAAGCGTAAGATACCTAGGAATAAACCTAACCAAAGAGGTAAAGGATCTATACCCTCAAAACTACTGAACACTTCTGAAAGAAATTGAGGAAGACACAAAGAGATGGAAAAATATTCCATGCTCATGGATTGGCAGAATGAATATTGTGAAAATGTCAGTGGTACCCAGGGCAATTTACACATTTAATGCAATCCCTATCGAAATACCATGGACTTTCTTCAGAGAGCTGGAACAAATTATTTTAAGATTTGTGTGGAATCAGAAAAGACCGTGAATAGCCAGGGGAATCTTAAAAAAGAAGACCATAGCTGGGGGCATCACAATGCCAGATTTCAGGTTGTACTACAAAGCTGTGGTCATCAAGACAGTGTGGTACTGGCACAAAAACAGACACATAGATCAATGGAACAGAATAGAGAATCCAGAAGTGGATCCTCAACTTTATGGTCAACTAATAGTTGACACAACAGGAAAGACTATCCACTGGAAAAAGGACAGTCTGTTCAATAGATGGTGCTGGGAAAATTGGACATCCACATGCAGAAGAATGAAACTAGACCACTCTCTTGCACCATACACAAAGATAAACTCAAAATGGATGAAAGATCTAAATGTGAGACAAGGATCCATCAAAATCCTAGAGGAGAACACAAGAAACACCCTTTTTGAACTTGGCCACAGTAACTTCTTGCAAGATACATCCATGAAGGCAAGGGAAACAAAAGCAAAAATGAATTATTGGAACTTCATCAAGATAAAAAGATTCTGCACAGCAAAAGAAACAGTCAACAAAACTAAAAGACAACCTACAGAATGGGAGAAGATATTTGCAAATGACGTATCAGATAAAGGGCTAGTGTCCAAGATCTATAAAGAACTTATTAAACTTAACAGCAAAGAAACACAATCCAATCATGAAATGAGAAAAAGACATGAACAGGTTTTTCACAGAGGAAGACATAGACATGGCCAAGAAGTGCATGAGAAAATGCTCCGCATCACTGGCCATCAGGGAAATACAAATCAAAATCACAATGAGATACCACCTCACACCAGTGAGAATGGGGAAAATTAAGAAGACAGGAAACAACAAATGTTGGAGAGGATGCGGAGAAAGGGGAACCCTCTTGCACTGTTGGTGGGAATGTGAACTGCTACAGCCACTCTGGAAAACTGTGTGGAGGTTCCTCAAAGAGTTAAAAATAGATCTGCTGTGCAACCCAGGAATTGCACTGCTGGGGATTTACTCCAAAGATATAGATGCAGTGAAACGCCGAGACACGTGCACCCCGATGTTTTTAGCAGCAATGTCCACAATAGCCAAACTGTGGAAGGAGCCTCGGTGTCCATCGAAAGATGAATGGATAAAGAAGATGTGGTTTATGTATACAATGGAATATTACTCAGCCATTAGAAATGACAAATACCCACTATTTGCTTTGACATGGATGGAACTGGAGGGTATTATGCTGAGTGAAATAAGTCAATCGGAGAAGGACAAACATTATATGGTCTCATTCATTTGGGGAATATAAAAATTAGTGAAAGGGAATAAAGGGGAAAGGAGAGAAAATGAGTGGGAAATAACAGTGAGGGTGACAGAACATGAGAGACATCTAACTCTAACGAACAAGGGTTGGTGGAAAGGGTCGTGGGTGGGTTTTGGGGTGACTGGGTGATGGGCACTGAGGGGGGCACTTGGCAGGATGAGCACTGGGTGTTATGCTATATGTTGGCAAATTGAACTCCAATAAAGAAAAATTTTAAAAAAATGCTGAGTGAGAACCACACACCAAGGATACTTTACTCAGCAAAATTATCATTCAGAAATCAATAAAATCAAATCAATTAATTTGATACATAATAGAATGAAAAAAATTATATGATCATTATATGTGTAGAAAAAACATTTGACAAATTCTTTTCATGATTAAAAACTCCAAATAAATTGGGTACCAAAATGTCACACCTGAACATATATGAGAAGCCATAGCTAACACCATATTCAGTGGTAAAAACACTTTCTTCTAAGTTCAGAACAAAACAAAGCTGCCCACTTTAACACTCCTATTCAACATGGTACTCGAAGTCATAGCCAGAGTAGTCAGGCAAGAAAAAGGAATAAAAGGCATCCATATCAAAAAAGAAGAAATAAAACTGTCTTTGTTTGCAGAGGATATGATTCTATATGTAGAAAATCCTGAAGACATCGCCAAAAAGCTGTTAGAACTAGTAAAGATGAAGGATATAAAATCAATATATGCAAATCAGTTATATTTCGATACAGTAAGAACAAAATATCTGAAAAAGAAATAAAGAAAAAAAAGAAATAAAGAAAAAATCCCATTCACAAAAGCATCAAAGAAACCAAAATACTCAGGAATAAGTTTAACCAAGGAGGTGAAAGATATGTACACTAAAAACCACAAGACGTTGATAAAAGAGACACAAATAGGAAGAGGTCCTGTTGTTTATGGATTGGGAAAATTAATATTTTTAAATACCCACATCATTCAAAGCCATCTACAGATTCAATGCAATCCCTGTCAAAATTCTAGCGACAATTTTTTCAGAGAAATAGAAAAACTATTCTTTAATTTGTATGAGACAAAAAAGACCCCAAATAGTCAAAGTATTCCTGAGAAAGAACAAAGCTGGAAGCACCACACTTCCTTTTTTTCTGTTACAAAGCTATAGTAAGTCAAAACAGTATGGAACTTGCATAAAAGCAAACATAAAGACCAATGAAATAAGGATGCCTGGGTGGCTCAGTGGTTGAGTGTCTGCCTTAGGCTCAGCGAATGATGCCAGGGCCCTGGGATTGAGTCCCACATCAGCCTCCCTACAGGGAGCCTGCTTCTCCCTCTGCCAATGTCTCTGCCTCTCTCTGTATCTCTCCTGAATAAAAAAAAAAAAATCTTTTAAAAAAAGACCAATGAAACAGAATCAAGAACCTAGAAATAAATCCATGCATATAGTCAACTACAACTTAATAAGGGATCCAAGAATATTCAAAGGCAAAAAGATAATCTCTTCAATAAATGATGCTAAGAAAACTGGATATTCACATGCAAAAGAATGAACCTGAATTCCTAACTTACACCACTCACAAAAATTAACCCAAATTGGATTAAAGATTTTAAATGTACAGCTTTAAACCATAAAGCTTCTAGAAGAAAAGAGTGAAAAAGCTCTCTGACATTGATCTTAGCAATGATTTCAGAAATGGCATCCAAAGTACCAGCAACAAAAGTAAAAACTGTGGAACA